ACTGCCTGGCATCCAATTCCAAACCCTAAAACTTCAAACATTATTCAATACCACTGGTGATCACTACTGATTGTTTGCTCTTTGAGAGAAATATAAACTCAACAAGAGGCTCTGAGTAAGCTATCAGCAGGAGCCGTGGGTGCTTCCCTAACCCACAGGAACCTGGACTCCCACAACTCTACCAGCTCCCAGAGGGACCCATACGTAGCTCTAACTCTACAACCTCACCTACATCTGGCTTAAGCTGGGACAGTACACATTCCCACAGCTTGGCAAGTGGAGATGAATGGAGGTTTAGTCTATGCCAGTAAAAGAACAGCTCTGTTTAATTTGGAATTCTAAACACAATTTTCCATAGGAACATTACTCATACAATACTCATGAGTATTGATACTGATGTGGTTGACCTGCAAAATCTAAATACTAAGTAAAAAAATTCTCGAGAACATGTACAAAAAGTTTAAAAACTGTGGTTTTACAGCAGAGTTTTAGATTTCAATTTCCATTAAGATTTCAATTTCAATTTCTCCATTTTCTCATCTTTTATTTTTCCTGAGATCAATACTTGATCTGATGTTCCAAAATAAGCTTAACCCTCAGAAGGATCAAGGAAGGATTTACATTCCAAACTGCCTCTGCTATAATCCTATTAATTTCTCCAAATTTACTTTAGCTTTCTCCAATAAAAGAACCCTACTATAAATAGAGTTTCTCTAGTTTCCTTGTTACTCCAGTTTGTTCCCTAGATTAGAAACGATATGAAAGTCATCTTTTAAAGACATTAGAACAGAAATGTTACAAAAAAATATTTAAATGTCAAATTAATCAGAAAACATACAATGCAGATCACCAGTAAATTCTGTAATAAACATGGGTGAGAGAGGGAGGTGTATGCTCCTGAGGTACCAAACAGTGGGAAGGAGGTTCCAAACTGAGATAAAACATGGATGAAAGCAGAGAAAGTATTGCTAGTGAACTTCTCCCTCAAACAGAATAATCCAGAACTGGATGTCCAAAATCTACACATCTTCAAAAATAACACATCCTCACAAATAAACCATCCAGCAGATAAGCCAAACCCTTTTGATTCCACTTCTCTCATCCGAACAAAGAGCTTTAAAACCAAGAACAGAAGAAATCAACAGGATACATTAGAAATCTCTGTCCCCTGAGCCCAAAGGCTTTAACTTGTTAATTACAACCTTAAAAATCTGTTCTCCCACTGCTAGAAATTAAATGAAAATGCCCAGGTAAAGCTGCATAATGATCGAAACAACACCTTAAGTACAACTAAAACAGGAAGTATAAATGACAGGCACCAGAGTCTTTTTGGCTATGGGGGAGAAGGGTGGTGAACACAAAAAGGACTCTAATGAGTAAAACATGAGGGCAAAGAAAGGCTAAGAAAGCTATATACAAGGGAAAGCCAATAATGCCAAACATAAATTTTGAAGCTTCTCACTCTGCTTAGGACTGATCTCAATCATGAGTGGTCACCCTGCATAAAAACTCACAGCTTAGCAAGAATACCTAGCAAGACGTCACAGTACTGATTCACTTCATTTCTGCATATCTGTATTTCAACATTTAACTCTATTATAAAGATATTTTCTTCCCAAAGGATTCTTACCCAAAACTGTACAGCTCCCTGCATCACACTTGTGATTCACAGTGACTCCTTTTCCTGGTATGCCATTTTGCAGCTTCATCTATCTTGCTGTTAAGGTTTCCTCATATATTAATCTTGAATACATCAACTCCCATTTTCAACAAAACTCTTTCTCTAGTGTTTTGGGGGGCTTAACTCTTTTGGGGGGCTGTGTGTCCCACACAGCCACACTCGATTTCTTCCACCACCACGCCGAGCCAACAATATATCTAACACATATATATATATCTAACATAGAAGAAATATCAGTGCTTCTCAAACATCAGTTGTGAAAGATCATTTTTTAGTAATTTCCTCTGTATCATGACGGTATACTTTTATAAAGTAAAAGTGAATTACTAGAAAAATGAGGACGTACTTGGATGTTGCAGTATTATCAAATTATTGCAGAAAGTTTTAAAAACTTATTTTCAAGATTTTAACTTCTGTGCCTACAGACAGGTACCACATACTTCCGGGACCAGCGCTGGTCCCTGGCATGGGCAGCGGGGCCCCAGTGCATATTCTCAGTACACGGCTCTTCAGGAAGTCTTTCACATGCCGAGCAACAATACAGCAACCCACACAAATGGCGATGAACCTGTTTAATACTGCTTTCCATGACCCACATTTTACTTCAGCCAGTCCCTTCAGATGCGAGGCCCTTGGTCATAGTCTCTTAGTTTGTCCATGACAAGGAGGATTTAAAAATTTACTGAATTAACTCTTACTTCTAATCAAGCAGTATCTTCTGATTAAGAGTCTTTGCATATATTCACCTTCAAAAACCACAACTCAAAACATCTTTTCTCCATAAACATTTCTGCATCTAGAGAATTTTTTGCTTTTTTGCAATCAGATACTTAAATTGGCACTAATTAATACGCTGTAAGTAGGTTCATGTATTGCCTTTTCAATTAGATTAGAGAGAAGCAGTATAAACATCAATCCATTCTTTTTAAATTTTCCATATAGTACATAGTAAGTCTGCTTACAGTAAAAACAGTGATCTGATCTGACCCCAATAATTCTCATACTCCCCAGGCAAAAAGCAGCATACCTGGCCTACAGATTGGCCCGACTGAGATTTCTAGAAAATCATTTAGCTATGAAACAGTAGTACGTATGGCCTAACTATCTGTTCTAATACCTTTATGAAATGTCTCTGAGTAATCATGATAGCCTGCTTAGATCAACTTAGAATTATATTCACATAAATTTGAGTTCCTTCCACTAAAATTGCATCAGTAAGCAGACGTTACGAATTACTACGACAAAAGAAAAATTGTCTACATATGCCTTCAATTCACAACGTATAGTATACAATACACTTACGCTAAGAGTTCTTCTAACACAAAGAAATTTTAAACCTCAATTCAACCATAAACAATTTTAAGACATATGCAACCTGTACCAACACAGATTCCTAACTATACAGTCCATTACTGGGGAAAAAATCTCTTATATCGCTACATATTATTTTAAATGTAAATGGCAAGAAAAGATGGTCCTTAAAAGATCTACTATGTGAACCGTGAATTTCTAAGTAGAGACTAACTGTAGGTCCTTTCAGTGTAGAGGGACAGTGAGATTTAAAGATGAAAGACACCACAGTAATTATTCAGGGCATGTTGGTCACTTCATGGATGTAAACATTACAGCCTAGGAAGCTGGCCGAAGGTCACAAAGCTGGAGATGCAGGACCTCAAAAATTGCAGCACAGTGCCCATTTCACCATATTAAACTGCTCCCATTCCAAATACTGAGGTCAAACTCGTAATAACATTTCCTTGTACTACTTTGCTTTACTAAAACGAATTTTAAAAGAAGGGACACTATATCCTCCTTTTTCTGATCTCCAGGGATTTTTACTATTTTCTCAAAAACGAGTCTCAGTAGCTCTAAGTCATATATTTCAACTTTAAGGTACTAAACCCTCATATTAAGAATACTTTTAAGTGTTTATTTGCCATTCTAGTTTTACTTTCTACTCATACATCAGAAATGCTACTTATCACAGTTAACTAATTATTAAAGATGTGAAAAAGCCATTAAGGGGATTCCTAAGACTACTGAAGGGATTTTTATTTTTACTTATACTAAAAAGCTCCAGATAATTTGATTTCTAGCTTTTACCTGTTTTTCAGCATTTTACAATTTCCTTCCATATTGACAGGCTTTGTCTACTGTCAGTTCTCAATACTGTCAGTTAGTCAACCTGTGTCCAATTCTATTCCACTCCTACTATATGAATTCAGAAACTGATGAGAATAGTATGTAAAGCAAGAGTTAAGTGAGCTCTCGGTGATAGCACATTAAGGAACTTTATAAACTTAAACTCACATTTTAGTTTATCATTAAAAGTATTTCATAATTAATTAGTTCCTTGTTCTTATCTATGCTTCAATATGGAGATAATACTAGGTACTTAAGGTATTAAATGTCATTTATACTTGACCCCATATTTCTTATCTTGAGCATATCTAGTCTTCTTGAATTTCATTTTATACCCCCCTCTGATCAGATACTTCTGAAAACTATCTGAAACTTTTATCAGTTTCCCAAAATTAATATTCTTTCTTTTCTTCCATAACCTAGGAAACTGAATTAGTTACAACACTGTAGTCATTTCCACCAAGATTTACAACCTCCTGAACTTCTTAGCTGCTACACTGATCCCCACCAAAAGTATCACCTTCTCTAGATTATCATTACTATTAACATAATGATTCTCCATAACACTCAAAGGCATCAAACGGTAATAAAGTCTCATTTCCACTTGTCATAGAACTAGTCCCTATAAAGTTCTTCAAACTCTATACCTGACCTATCAGTCTCAATTCCAAGTTAAATAAAGTTAAATTTCTAATATAAGAGATTCTAAACTGTTTTTAAACAGTTGAACCAATTATGAAAAATTATGAAGATTTTTAAGTTTGCCTCATAATGAGGAGTTTAAATTAGGGGAGAAATCTTTGAAATTTGAAAAGCAGTGAGGAAATAAAGTTAAAACTTGATTAATGTGCCTATAATGGGTCACATTAACAGCAACCACAACATTAAATTAGATGTTTTCTTAAAAACAGAATACATTAAGGTAAAGAAAATGAAGGAAAATGAGAAGGATTTCATTCCTTCACATAAAATCTCTATTTCATGCACAGAGGTAAATAAAATTCTACATATATGAAATATATACCAAAAAAAGGGGGGGGCAAGCAAAAGCAAGAAAAACATCAGTCCATTAAAAGCCCCTCCCCAACTTAAGAGAATATTGACCATTACACAGGTGATGACCCCAATATCACTTCTATATTCCATTTAGTCTCACAGAAGTTTCAACTTCACCTACCTTTCTTCTCTGAGAGATGTTGAGGGCACCAAAGTCATTAAACAAGGATGAAGCAGGTGAAGTTAGAGGATCTGGAAGGTAAGTTACATAAGTTTCCACACAGACAACTCAAGCAACCCACAAATCTAATAAATGTTTAACTTGACAATGCTTTTAACAGTAATAAAAATCATATACCACAATAATAGTTAAACTCAATGCCTCACATACAGTGGATGTTCAAACATTTTCTAAGTAAATGAAACACAAATTAGAGAATACTTCTCTCAGCCAATACTTAGCCAATTAAAGTATTAGCTAATACTTTAATCAAAAGCTATATGGATTAGGGTACACCTGTTTGCTTAAAACCAAAAGAAAAATCAAAAAGAAAAAAAGAAGAGATGACTCCTGACATTAAAAATGTTGTTTATGAAAGAAGTCTACCAGTAGTAAATGAACTTTGTGTACTTGAAACCAAATCATGAGAAAAATCACAAGGGGCGGGGGTGGGGGGGAGGATAGAAAGCCATATTCTTAGTAACTGGATTTGGATTTCAACACTTAGGCAAGACCTTAAAACCATCTATAGAATATTCCATCTTTTTCAGCTTATCACCAGATATTTTATACTCTTACTAAAAATACAAGTAAACTAGGTTTTTAAATATGTAAATATTAAATGTTTCAAAACACAAACAGGAAACTCAAAGATTCTATAGTTTCAAAGTTCTATTACTCTATGTCCAGAAGTTACAGACAAAAGTGTATCTCTAAATTGTTTTTCACTTAATAGGTCAGAAGAGTTTCTCAAAAGGTATACATGATACACATGGAAATACTTTATCTTCAATTTTGAGCTCTACTTAATATTATGTTTCTCAATAAATTATCTATGAAATTCTAAAGACTATAGGAAATGTTCTCATTTAGAAGGGCCTTAAGCCTCTTCATAATGCAGTACAGACTGCTGTTTAACTGCTCCAGCTACATCTGCCTGCATTTTCAGTCTAGTCTCTCATTAGAAGTAACAATTTAATATATGCAGTGAAAAACCTAATAAAATATATTTATGTAATGTATACATTCAAGGCACCTAAAAATAGGTAATATTATTCATCCTTTATTCTACTTTTGATAATACTTAAAAGTCAGCATATAAACTCTATGGGAATGCTAAAAATATTATTATGCCACAAATTAGTTTCTAAAAATTTTATTAAATATTAAAATACTGATTTTTTTCTACAGAAAAAAAGGTTGAAATATCTAAATAGTGACACAGACACACAGCACAAAATGTCTATCTCAGGATATAATCAACATGCAAATTCCTATTCTCATCATTAATGAGAACTGTCAACATTTAATTGATTCAGTGTATTGACACTTAATTGTTACATATTTTTAAGAAACTATTCTTGAACATTTGTTTCTAAAATAGAATACAGAAAAAAAAAATAAACTAGAATAAAATAGAATACAGAAAGATACTTGGAAATTCCATATCAAAAGTCTTAAAAATGACCATGATCTTGGAAACAGTCATTGCATGTCTAACAATGTTTCCAAAAAATAAAATATAAACACAGATTCATACACACAGTCCAATATTAGAATACCTTTTTAAAAAATTTTGGTACATTATGAAAATAAGCAATAGAATTCAATTTATTATGATCAAGAAACACTCATAACTTTAGGGGCACCTGGGTGGCTCAGTCAGTTTGGAGTGTGACTTCAGCTCAGGTCATGATCCCACAGCTCGTGAGTTTGAGCCCTGCGTTGGGCTCTGTGATGACAGCTCAGAGCCTGGAGCCTGCTTCGGATTCTGTCTCTCTCTCTCTCCCTCTGCCCCTCCCCCGCTCATTCTCTGTCTTTCTCGTGCGCGCGCAAAAATAAATAAAAATATTTTTAAAAATTAAAAAACAAAAAAGAAACTCATAATTTTTAAGTAAATCTAATACAATCTTAAGTATTATCATGAATATATTTAGCCAAGTATTAAATATCATGTATGTATATATATGTACATGTATTTTCACACTCAGACATAACCATTATTTGGAATTCTATGGAATCCAAATAATAGTTACCTCTCTAGATCATTCTTACCCTCTTCCTTTATATATATTCATAATTTTCAAGACTTCAAGATTTCTACAATCAACACACGGTTTTAGAGTCAGAAATATATACATAGGCATGCATGTATGTATACATGTATGTGTATAAATATACAAGAGAAAAAAGGACCAAGTCTTACCGTGGCCTGCATATGGCTTGGCACTGTCATTAAGAAGGCTTGGGGAACTGCTACTATTAGTCATTCTCTGAAAAACAAAAGAGATACACATTATGTCACTAATGGAGAGCAGTAAACCAATTGGACTAACTCTCTTTGCTTCTTCACCTCCAATCCACTTCTTACATTACTGACACTCTAATCTGACTATAAATGTTGCTACATGGATTATAATAATTCATGCAAAAATTTCCAAATGCTCTCTGTAACATAGCAAATGAAAATTTTGCTCACTAGCCAGTTATTTTGGGGTTTTTTAATGTTTTATTTATTTTTTTATTATTTTTTCTTTCATAGTTTATTGTCAAGTTGGTTTCCATATAACACCCAGTGCTCATCCCCACAAGTGCCCTCCTCCATGCCCATCACCCCCCTTCCCCTCTCCCCCACCTCCATCAGCCCTCAGTTTGTTCTCAGTATTCAAGAAACTCTCATGGTTTGCCTCCCTTCCTCTCCCCAACTTTTTTTCCCTCCCCCTCCCCCATGGTCCTCTGTTAAGTTTCTCAGGATCCACATATGAGTGAAAATATATGGTATCTGTCTTTCTCCACCTGATTTATTTTGCTAAGCATAATACCCTCGAGTTCCATCCATGTTGCTACAGATGGCCAGATTTCATTCTTTCTCATTGCCATGGAGTATTCCATTGTATATAAACCACATCTTCTTGATCCATTGGTCAGTTGATGGACATTTTGGCTCTTTCCATGTTTTGCTATTGTTGAGAGTGCTGCTATGAACATTGGGGTCCATGTGCCCCTATGCATCAGCACTCCTGTGTCCCTTGGATAAATTGCTAGCAGTGCTATTGCTAGGTCATAGGGGAGTTTTAGTGTTCATTTTTTGAGGACACTGCACCATTTTCCAGAGCGACTAGCCAGGTATTTAAAACCAAAGTTGCACACTTATTTTGAACTGCACTTCCATATCATTAGCTTGGGCAACACACGTAACTATTAAATCTCCTTCCAATATCCGTCTGAGAGGATATAAAAGTCAACAAGTGCTTTCTAATATCCTCTCCCAGTGTGTATTACCCTTCATACACCTTACAGATTCTATAAAATTAGGATATTCTCTGTTCTCTAAACATGTTCCTTGCTTTCTCATACTCCATACCCTCTAGTCTCTCCATCCAGGAAGGCCTTGCCTCCAGACCCACAACACACAGACAAGAGTGAAAACGAGGCTCTTGCCGCCCGTCCTCTACACGCTCCACTGTTCTCCCAGCCCATCCTACCCTTGAAAGCTCACCCAGATTCCAGCCGTATCCCACCTACCCCATCAGCTCCTAAAACCTTACCTCGTACTCAACAGGTTTAAGAATAAATCCCCTGACGCTGGAATAAACGTCACTGTTTAGTGCCATGTAAATTCAGACTAAGGATACCTGCATCAAGGGATACTTTGTTTCCACCGGGCTTCCAAATCCATTGACTCCTATAAAGCTGGTGCTGAAATAGGAATCTGTGAGACTTGTATCAGTTAAAGCACCTCCATCTATTCCAGGAACTGAAAGATAAAGAAAATTCAAGTATTTTAATTATTTGCAAGTACAAAATACTGATGCAGTTTCTGTGTCTCTGATATATTTTAAAGTCTCAAATCTCTGTCACACTTATTTTTATTTATCTGTTCATAACAGAAGGCAGGACCAAATAAAGTTGGCTCAGCTCTAAAAATCTGTTAAACAATGCTCAAGTTTACTGATTTTTCTCCAGAGACAGTAACTTATTTTATATTAGTATATAAGCACCACCAAACATAACATGAAGAAACAAACCACATTTGCATTTCATTTTCTCATCAAGTTTTCTTTCTTTAACCTTTCAAGAAAACAACAGAATATAAGGCACTGCAATTGAATCTTCATAGGAGAAACAGATGTAAGTTTCTCAGGAGTGTTTCTCTTAACACATCTTACGCAACAGACCAGCAGTCTCTCATTAATACATAAGTCAGTAAAAACAATTCTGCAGACACAGCAATGGGATAGAGGTCAGGAACACAGACAAGCTGCTGACTTTAGGTTAATACAAAACGACTGTAAGTAGTAGGGCAATCCATCACATACCAACGAAGTAATGGACAATATGTTTTAGATGCTACCTCCTGGTAATTACTTGGAATGTTATTTTCCAACCTGCTCATTAAGTACAAAGTCATATCCTTTACAAATCAGCTAAGCTCCAAGTAGGATTGTCCTCTTCTGGGCACAGCCTCTGAGAACCACAGAAACCACTCCCACCCCCCCACCCCCCAAGTAAGAAGAAAACTGAAAAAGTGCTGATAGTTGGATGTAAGGTGCTATGATCCGAATGTGTGTACACCTGCAAAATTCACATGCTGAAAACCTAACCCCCAAAGACAATGGTATTAGGAGGCAGGGCCTTTAGGAGATGTGTAGGTCATGGGAGTGGAGGCCTCAGGAATGAGATTAATGTTCTTTTTGTAAGAAATCGGTAAAGATCTCTAGTCCCTCCCATCACGTTAGGACACAACAGGAAGGCGCCCATTTATGGAGCAGGAAGTGGGTCCTAACCAACCACCACACAAAATCTGCCAGTGCTATGATCTTGGACTTCTCAGTCTCAGAACTGTGAGAAATAAATATCTGTTGTTTGTTAAGACATCCAATCTGAAGTATTTTATTATGGCAGCCCTAACAGACTAACACTCAGAAAGCAACCTGAGATAATTTTTCTTCTCTATTTTTAAGATTTATTTCTCAAAATGTCCACTACTAAAATAAAAATGTATTCCTAGGGAAAAACATAATATATATCAGGTTCTATATGCAGTTTCAAACAACCACAGGGGGGTCTTGAACGGTATCCCCTGCAGATAAGGCAGAACTACTGTATAGTTCCAAAGGAAATGGAATCACTATGCCGAAGAAATACCTGCAGCACCATGTTCACTGCAGCATTATTCCTAATAGCGAAGACATGGAAACAACCTAGGTATCTGCCGGCAAATGAATGGCTAACAAAAATGTAATATATATATATATATACGTATATATCTGTATACATACATACACATGTATATATGCATGTATGTATTATGTGTATGTATACACACATATACATGTATACATATGCATAAAATATGATGTGTACATATATACACACATACATACACAATGAAATATTACTCAGCCATAGAAAAGGAAACTCTGCCATTTGTGACATCATGGATGAACCCCGAGGGCATCATGCTAAGTGAAATAAGTCAGAGAAAGACAAACACAGTATGTTCTCACTTATATGTGGAATGTAAAACAGCCAAACTTGAGGCACCTCTGTGGCTCAGTTAACTGTCTGACTTTTGCTTTCGGCTCAGGTCATGATCTCATGGTTCATAAAATCAAGCCCCGCATAGCACTCAATGCTGACACAGCATAGAGCTTGGTTGGGATTCCCTCTCTCTCCTTCCGCCCCCCCCCCCCCCCGCTCTCTGTGCCCCTTTCCTGTGCATGCTCTCTCTCCTCTAAAGAGAGAGATAAATTTTAAATAAAAGGGCCAAAGTCAAAGAAACAGAGCAGTACAGTGGCTGCCAGGGGCTGGGAAGTGGGAGAAATAGGGAGATGTTGGTCAAATTTCCAGCTATAACATGAGTAAATTCTGGGGATCTAATGTACACCATGGTGACTATAATTAACAAAACTGTATTATGTACTTGAAAGTTGTTAAAAAAGATTTTAAAAGTTATTATCACACAAAAAGAAGTTAATTATGTGAAGAGATGAAGGTGTTGACCAACCTTACATGGTAATTGTTTTGCAATATATATTTGTATCACATCATCCAGGTGTACACCTTAAACTTATGTTACGTGTCAGTATCTCAATAAAGCTGAGACAAAAGAATCCCATACATATACTTAACACTTAACTTTTCCTGTTTTGTTTTGTTTTATTTTTTTAACGTTCTATTTAATTCTGAGACAGACAGAGAGAGAAAGCGCGCAAGCGTGAGCAGGGGAGGGTCAGAGAGAGGTCGATACAGAATCTGAAGCAGACTCCTGGCTCTGAGCTGTCAGCACAGTGCCCAACACGGGGCTCAAACCCACGAACTGTGAGATAATGACCTGAGCCGAAATCGGAAGCTTAACTGACTGAGCCACCCAGGCACCCCAATTTTTCCTGTTTTGGAAGGAAGAGAATGGGATCTTATACTTCAAGAGCAGTTATGGAAATCACTAACCTGTTATACATTATACTATGTACATCACGAAGGTACTAACTTTCTAAAGTTACTAAGAACACCTATCCTACATGCTTCATGGGATGCACACGGAGAAAAAGCATATGGAGTACTTTTTAAGTTTACATTACATAAGCATAAGACATGTTAGAGACTTTAATTACCAAAACTAGATAATTAAGTACTCCTTCAATTCCTTATTTTCGCAGTCCACAGATCTCTATGGTATAATAATTTACAATACACTGGAAGTAAAGCTTATGTTTCTATGAAAGCTTTACTATCATGTCTATGATTATAACATATCAGTACCGAATAATAATCAATTCAACAATCACCATGTAGATATGAACTGCAGTATGAATGACAATTCAATGACAATCGCGGCCAGGTTGACATTACTTTTATTTTGCACCTAAGCAAACTGATTCAAGGAGATGAGAGAGCTTGTCCAAAGTCACAAAGCTAGTAAGTGACAGAACAGGGATGCAATGACAACCCCTTTATTTCATGAAACTGCCTTCCAGTTTTTAAGAAAGGGAATTATAAATCAAAAGATGAAATTCAAGGCTGAAGCTTTATTTCTTTTTAATGTTTATTTATTTTTGAGACAGAGAGAGAGAGACCGTGGACGAGTGGGAGATGGCCAGAAAGGGGGAGACAGAAGATCCAAAGCATGCTCCGTGCAGTGAGAGAGATCATGACCTGAGCCAAAATCAAGAGTGGGTCACTTAACCGACTGAGCCACCCAGGTGCCCTTCTCCCCTGCAGTTTTAAAACTGCAAGGCCTTGATGTTAAGACATTCTAACTTTGAACCAAAGATCTCACAGTACCTAAAGAATCTGAACTCATAATCTGTCAGCAGTAACCCAGCCACAGTTAGCATATAAATGTGTATGATAATAACCCACTTAAAAAAAAAATCCTCACAGCTTAACTAAACAAATGTTCTCTTTCATCTTCAGCCTTGTCCCCTCTGGGTGAAATGGGTTTAACTTTCCCAAATCATCACAATAAATCAAGGGAATACCCAAAGGGAATTCTGATGTCAAGTAAATTTGAAAGATGCCAAGAAAAACAAAAGTAAACCCATTCTTCACAATGCAGTGTCCACAATGTGAAGTATGACATTGACACAGGAGATCTACTTCCCAAACGTACCTGGCTAGGGCACATGGAGTGTGAGGGCCTAGAGCTCCATGGAACACACTCTACAAAAAGTAGCCCCAACAACACGGAGTGGTTCTCCTGGGCCAAAGAAGGCAGCACAGACAAGACGCTGGCAAAGCTCTCGCAAGGTGATGAAATCCAACTTCTCAGCCTAACTTTAATAAGCCCTCAACAATCTTGTTCTCAATCTATTATTTCCCAAAGGTGCTAAGTTTGTGTCTGTTTTGCCACTTACTAGCCACAAAGTCTCTGGCAAAATACTTCAAAAATGTAGATTATGCCAAAGTGAAAATCATACCATCTACCCTGCAAACATCCATGAAAAATTATGGAAAACAATGACATAGGACCTTGTAAGAATCTTAACAGTTGCACAACTCTATAATATAAGCTACTAAATACTGATTGTACACCTTACAGTGGGTGAATACAGCACGTAAATTATATTTCCAAAAAAAGCTATTTTTTAAAAAATCAGTGGAGAAAAAAAGGAATTATTCAATAAATGAACTTAAAACAAGCAGGTATCCAGGGATGCCTGAGTGGCTCAATCAGTTGAGCGACCAACTCTTGATGTGGCTCTGGTCAAGACCTCAGGGTTGTGGGAACAAGCCCTGGGTCGGGCTCTGCAGTGAGTGTGGAGGGGTCTGCTTGGGAGTCTCTTTCCCTCCCCCTCCTGCTACCTCCCCATTCATGCTCTGTCTAAAAAAAAAAAAAAAATTTTTTTAAGTGAAAAATTAAAAACTGGGTATCCATCAGGGGGAAAAAATGAATACACAGAGATTTCCAAAAGACCAAAGATTATAGTGTATAAAAATAAATATATACACACATATATATACACATCCACTACAAAAAAGATCTTTACAATAGTTATAACATTACTGAACTCTCTCCTCCAATCAAAATGATACAGTCAACTGTATTTTGAAAGTCTACACTTTACAATATGAAGTGCCATCAATTTCTACACACACACACCCCTAGCTCTATGTTCTTCAAGACCCAGATATATGATGAAAAGGAAAAAACACACTTGGAATTACAGCCACTAAGTTCTAATCCTACCTTTACTAGTCACTTGCTCTATGACTTTGAGCAAACAATCCTCTAAGTTTCATTTCTTCATCTGG